CGTTCAGAGCAATAGATTCAAAAGCTACAGCAACAGGCCGAAGCCGAGAAGGCCAAGAACGCAGACGTACACATCCAGGTGCCCGCCCTACCGAGCGGTGAGCAGGCAACGGGAGCTGAAAACATGGATGACGCTTTGCAACAATCCATTGCCGACGGCTTGGGTGAGGGCCAGGAGAGACCGGATGTTGAAATGACTGGTGCATCTGCCGACCAGCCCAACGTCGCCCAACCAGCAGGTCCCGCCGAGGTTGCAGATATGTCGGTTGCTCCCGAGGATCACGATCAGTCCGCTTACCCTGATCCGTCCATGTTCGGCCAGGAGCGCATGCTTGGTATGGGTTATTACCAGCAGGATGACGATAGTCCGGACAAGATCCTGTTCGACCCTTATCAAAGACCTACGGCCGAAAATTATGTTGTTGACGAAGAACCGGAATTGATGCCTGAGTATTTGAAAAAGCAGCTTCGGTTGGCTAAGCGCAGGGCCCGCCACGCCGAAGATGACGATCCTGATTTTGCTGCACCTCGCTCTCACCATCGGAAGAAGCCCAAGCTTGACAAGACCTCCCAGCCCCCAGACACGCGGGACGGTCAAGACGACGCTCTCGAGAACATGGACCCGGCGCTCTTTGATCAGACGATGACGGATGTTGGCGGTGATATTAGAGATGGATCTGCCCAGGCTGGCGCCTCGCAACCTGCAAACGCCCAACCTGCAGATGAGGCAGCTGAGGAGTCTCGTCAAGCCCGCATGTACTCGCCCAACGTACCCACCCTTCGACATGCAAGGCCCAAGGTATCTTATAGAGTTGATGAGGATAACGAAGAAGAATTCAACGACATTCTCATCCCTCGCTCGCAGAGACCTGAATACCGGGCAGCTGCAGCACCAGCCAGTGTCGTGCAGAGTATCGAAGGACCGACTGGTCCTAAGGATCCCTTGGATCTTGCTTCTGCCGCCGTTCTTGCCATTACCGGCGCCGGAGGTAACCATAGCAATGAAGCCTCTCAGGAACTCGGATCGACTCGTGCCGCTGCTGCTCCGACTGGGCCGCCAAAGCTACGTGGGCCGCATAAGAAGCGAGGACGTCCTCCCGGTCGGCCACGGAAATCTGAAGCTCACCACACTGAAGATGAGGAATCGCACGAGGCACCAGAACCCACTCGGAGACGCGGGCGTCCCCCACGCGCATCACTGGCAGCAAAGGAACCCGCGGACAGTGGTCATAAATCTGGTGAAGAAAATGATGATGAGGATATTGATGCTCAACTCGCCCAAGAGCTTGATGGATTTGACGAGAACGGCGAGGTCGTCGAGCGCGATGCCGATGCTCCTCAAGCTCCTAAGAGGAGAGGCCGCCCACCCAAGAATGGCGTGAAGAAGGTCGTGGTTGAGGTCACTACGAAGGCACCCATGCTGTCTTTGGCTGAGCGTATGAAACTCAAGGGCAAGAAATTCAAGATCGGCGAGCGTAAGAGCACCGGAGGAACGCCCGGAAAGGTCATCGCCAAGCCAGTCGACTCGGTCGAGAAGAGTGCCTCTCCTGCGGGTTCTGGAAGGGCTGCACGGGATGCTGAGAAGGAGACCTCCCTTCCTGTTCGTGAATCACCCAGGACGACCAGGACCAGGACCACGTCAGCGACTCGCCACACTGTGCAGCCTGCCGAAGAGGAATCTCATCACTCCGAGTCTGAACCGGAGGCCGAGCCTGAAAAGGAGATGGAGAACAAGAAGTCTCCAGAACCACCAGCTCGACGCTCCGCGTCCCAGGCATCCGTCCGCATCAGTCCTCCTCGTGACGAGGCTTCACCTAGCAAGTCCCCAGAACGCAGTCCGAGTGTCAGCGCCTCGTCCGAACCCCCAAGTCGCGCGCCCTCCACCGCTGCCGCTCCATCTGTCACCCGCATCTCTCCCTCCCCTTCACCATCACCTGTTCGATCGCCTTCACCACCTCCTCCCCCACCGAAGCCCGCAGGCCCTACCGTCGTCAGGCTCATGGACACCGAAGATGAAGAGTCTGATTACGGTGGCAGCTACTCGGGATCCCGTTCGCCTTCTCAGAGATCTCAGTCAGAGCGGAGTGGAAGCGTGGCAAGTGGTACGGGCTCCGAAGACGAGCCGAGCTCGGACTCGGACTCGGATGACGAGGATATTCCGGCTAGGAAGGAGAGTGTTCGCCAGAGCTTTGCGAGTAGGGGGCGAGGAGGTGGGGTTGGGGTTGTGTCTAGGGGCAGAGGTGGGATTAGGGGGAGGGGGAGAGGAAGGGGTAGGCCCAGGGGTTCATAAAGAGATGTGAGAGGGGATTAACAGGGGAAATTTACCAAGGCAATTCGGGACTATGTTCCCCGTAAGCGTTTATTGTCTTGTAAACGAAGGGAAGATCGTGTAAAGTGGCTTGAGGATTGGATGGCTCGAGGAATGATGAGAAATGTTGTTTACTATATGTTATTCGAGTCTTGGGTTTGTTTATGAATGAACGGGGGGTTCTTTTGGTGAGCCGATTTTCTTGTCCGAGGATGAGGAGGGAAGGATTAAAAGTCGATAGCAATCATTGTTCAGCTAGTATCACGGTTGCTTTTTTTGTTGGTTGCTGGTTACCTCCTCTTCTCTTTGCTTCATTGTACATTGTATGATCATATTGGGCAGCATGTCTGCAGGTACAAAACTCGTACTGTAATCCCTGACGCATCAAGTCTCGGTGATGTTTACATGCAGTCCCCTCGAACCTGATTTTTGATGTCGTCTCCGCACATTCAATCATTCACAGAATAAATATTCCTTGAACAATGACGTTGTTTCAAATCCTCTTCAATTTGATAACACATGAACCATCATATCCACGCATGCAAAGATGGCCAGTGTCTATCTCCCTGAATGATCCTCATCCCAAACACTACCGTAATGCAATTGTAGTGTTATCCTCTCATCATCCTCCCATTGATGGCTGAAAATGCAAGAGTTGCTTCGCAACTAACAAAGGACAAAAAGAAAAAAATTAAGAAATTAACCCGAAAAAAGAAAACCTCATGAGCTCATCATACTCCTTCTCATGCTTTCGAAAGAAAATTCAGTTCCCTTTGACTGGGCCTCCCTTCAGTTCTTGGTATGCTTCTCCAGCTCACGCTTGCTGGCCTCGGCAAACTCGGCGTCCGACAGGCGGTCGGCCTTGACGTTCTCCTCGCTGTTGGAGGCAAGCTCGGGCTTCCATTGACCCTTGCCCTCCTTCTGCTTCTGGAGGGATTCCTGCTTGTGCTTCTCGTAGGCTTGGGGGTCGGGGTCGGCTGTTGTTGTTGTAAATGTAAGCGTTAGTTTATATGTGGGATACATAATTAGGGGGTTAAGGTTTATTTGTGATAGGGAGGAGGGGGGCGGTTAGGAGGGAGAGAGAGACACATACTGTTAGACGACTCCTTGAGCTTCAGGCTGGCGGTAGAGGCAATGGTCCTCCGCGCGGGAGCGGCGACGAGGGTCTGACGGGCAGTGAGAGCGGAAGCGGTGGAGATGCGGGCGAACATTTTGAAAGTGGTTTGTGGTTGTTGTTATTGTTGTTGTTTGTGTTCAAGTTGTTTGTGTGTAAGTTGAGGGGGGAGGAATTGGGTTCCTTCGATTGGTTGGTTTGGATGGATGGTAATGGAGGGTGGCTGATAGTAGAAAGAAGATAGGCTGAGATAGCGAGAGAGGCACGAAGGGAAGCTCTTATTAAAGGAAGGAATGGCTGTCTGATCAAAGGATGAGGAGGGGCACTCGGTAGTAGCTGCCTTGAAGCAGGTACAGAGATGGCAGCTCGCGGTCTGCCATGACGTCATTACACCTCCGGGACAACGGATGATCGTGATGTTTGCAACAAGAACGACCAGCACCTCTGCCAATACTGGAGGGAGCCCCGTTCTTTACACGTGCAAATCCCGCTTCGTCAGGGACAACTTGAAAGGAATGTGCCTTGACTGGAGATGCGATTTCAAATGATTTGCATAGTTTTTTGCGAGCAGGAAGCTATAGCTTTTCTTAAGTTGTCTTTGTTGCTCCTCCCCCAAGAGATTGCCTTTTCAAACACTGCTCTGTACCCTCGCGAGAAGCTCACATTGATACCTCAATCCTTTGGCCAACCGATGACATCAAAATTCCAATCAATCGCGCATCCACACGTTCATCCATTCTCAGGAATACATCAAACCGAAAGCTCTGACGTTGTTCCTGTTCCAAGCAGAGACAAAAGTGGATCCATATCCACGCTGAGGTGATAGTCCCCCTATCCACCAGCAATAACATCAAGCCAAGTTCGACTTGTTGAGCCTTGGTCAACAGGTTCTGGAGTGACGATGTTCAGAGGAGTCATGTCTGGAGACTATTTGATTCAGGTCGCTGGAACTCCATCACCAACATTTGTTCCAAGAGCAACTAACCCCTTCAACGCCAGACTTGTCTGTTCACGACAGTCTGTCCCTGTCAACTTTGTAGACACCGACGTCATACCTCTCAAGTGCCATGACCTGGTCAACAGCCCTACAATAAGCAAAAGGATGGGCAATTCTCTCACACTGTCAGCGTCAGAGTAGTGGACTCCCTCGAATGCGACTTCTGACCCAGAGGAGAAGAGACGATCGGAAAGATACCTGACGTTTGCATTTGAGCATATCTGAGCTGACACTTCTTGAGCATTGGCAGTGCATTGCATAACCATAAGCATATAATATGCAAAATTAGGAGAGGTGCTTTTCGGGACCCGCGGGCCCATCCGATCATCCATCCTCTAGCTTCCGATCCGATCCAAGCTAGCCTCCGGTTCGGGGACTGGAGAGGCATCATTGCGGGCTCTAGGGCTGAAGTAACGGACGGCAGAGGCGGGCCGACCGAAACTAGCTGCTCATACCACCCTACCAGACCTACTTATCCATCGAGGGGGATCTTGGGCTTCATGGTTCATCTCAGGGTCTTACAGATCTAGCATCTCGTACTCCTCCCAGGCCATCGGCGTAACCGGATCTCCGGGGCGAGTGAGGGAACACTATCTCTCTGGGTAACCAAATGCGTCCAAGCTACAAGAAGACAAATCCAGAAAGAAGACGTCCGGCAAACGTCCTTGTTGCTCCCATTTTCATCGAGTTTTCGTAGTGCTACCTACGGACAAGTAAGGCCATTACCTTCGTTTGGAATGGTTCGGTCGGTTGTTGCCGAAGCATTCGAGTGTCAAAAACTCGAAGAAGGTCCTACAAAACACTTGGGCACACATCTCGTGCTCTGACACTCTTTGGCACACGGGTACCCTAGACTCGGTAGCGGATCAACTCGAAAGCCCTCCAGTTGGTACCGCGGCCAGACCAGAGAGTGTCGGCATACGTTTTAGGACAATCTGTAGACGAGTCGGGGAGCCCGAAGATCGATACCGCGAAGAGGTTAAACATGCGGGAAGATGACAGATTCTTGTTTGTCCATTTGGTTCCTTGGGGCTTGGAGGGAAGTGTCATCCTCCATCCATGGCTCAACTATATGCGTACGCATAAGGTGACTTCGAAGAAGGGCCTTGTGTGCCGAAAGCAACGTGGACTTTGAATCGCTAAGATGACAAGAAACTCGTGTATCCCCGGACGGGAGTACGCCTTTATGACGGTAAAGGTAGGCATATACTGTATAACCCGACGGCGGATGCGTATTTCAGCCTTCCAGCTTGAACTCCGCACCGGCGATACCGCACAGTGCAGTACCGCAACATCGGGGCTCGAGGTGCCGTGGCCTCATAGGGCCGTCCCGGAATTTGAATACCGGCAGCCCGGAGACTGCAACATCCGCATCCGCATGGCACATTGCCGAAACACTGCGGGAGGCATGGGGAAGTGGAGGGAACCGATCCGCTCCGCTCCGCCTGTCCGGTCTCGTCCTTATTATCGGCTACGGGGAAAGCGGCAGCCAACATGACGGATCCTCGTCAATTCGCAAAATTTTACACGTGTACCCAATGATATGTGAAAAGAACAATTTTAGAAACGCCAGAGAAGCCAACTGGAGAGGCCCATCATACATGAGCGAATCATAAAAAGCCGCATTGGCCGAACGTTGGTGCCAGAGAACCTTCGACTTGTTGTTCGCCAGGAACTGGGAAATGAAAAGCATCAGAAAACCGGTTTTCGTCTAGGCGCAGCCCGCCGCAGGCCCGCAGCGAACGAAAGGCCCAGCCAGACTCCCACAAAAAACGTTGAATTGTAAAAACATGAAAATCTCGCATCCTCCACAAATGTACACTTGTATGTAGTGTACATACTTTAATCATGTAGTGTACCTACACTAGCAAAATAACGGAACGGTACAGTATTGAACAGCTGTACAGTGCAGCAGAAACAAGACAAGCATAGCCGCCGTCGCGGTCCGCCCGCGCTTGGATTCAGTTTTCCCCACAGCGCCCAGGTTATAGTACTGTGTACACTGTGAATTGAGGCTCCATTTCGTCGCTTCCCGGAAAGAAGCTGGAAGCCGACAACACGACGAGATGAGACGAGACGAGAACGAGAAAGAGAGAGGGAATACGGCATGTAGTTTGAGCACTTGATCAGCGACAAAAGGGCAGATAGATTCAAGCAGTAGTACCGAGAAGTCCAAAATGAGATATGCAACTGAAGCACTTTAAAACCTCTTGAAAGTCACGCAGGCAGGTAGTCTGCCATAGTGTAGTGTACCGTAAAAGTAGCATACTATGTTGACGACAGATGCCATGCTGGCCGGGCGTCGGGCGTATGTTGTTGTTGTCACGACGGATGCTGCTGGTGTAAGAGAATCAAAAGGAAAGTTGACAATCCCTCTCTACACTTAAAGTACCAACAAACACCCAATGAGGAAGTTTTCTCCGGTTTTTCTTTGCAAATCTCTCTTTCGGGATCCCATCCAGAAATCAAAGATTTCTAATTGCGAGCGACTTTTCCCCAGAAAAAAAAAACAAATTTACGGAAATGAGATCGGAGATGGGAAAATGGCACTGCGGGCCCAGGCACGTAAGTAAGGTTTAGACAAGGACCGGGTAGCGGGGTTTTTGATGATCCTGATTTGATTGATTGATTGATTGATTGATTAACCCAAGCGAGCGAAGTTTGCCAGGTTACTGGAACCCCCAGATCCAGAGTGAAAGGCTAAAGTTAAAGATTTGGAAAGCTCAGTTTTGGACAAAAGGCCCGAAAGTTGAGAAAAAGTGGATTGCGAACGGTTGATTCTGCATGCGGAAGGAATATGGAAGGGTTTGAGGTGGTAAGTAAAGAGGGGAGAAACAGAAACAAAAGATACTAAAATCATGTCGACGTACATATGTACTTCCCTATCCCAGGGCCATTCCGTGGCCCATGGGGGATGATGGAGAGAATGACATGCCGACGAGAAAGCT